TCTCTCTCTCTCTCTCTCTCTCTCTCTCTCTCTCTCTCTCTCTCTCTCTCTCTCTCTCTCGTGCGCGCGCGTGCTCGGGTGCTTTTTTTTCTTTTTTTTAATTTAAAAAAGGTCTCGATGGACCACGGATCAGATATGAAACCGAACGGAGGAGACACTACGCTTCATCGTGCGGGGAGAGAGGATCGGATATGAAACTGATCGAAGCAGATACTACACTTTATCGTGTTTCTGTGGGCAATGATTTCTTTTTTTTCTTTTTTTTTTGGGAAAGTTCCACAAGGATATCTCAAGTCTGTCGTTCCAATTTCGGGAACACGTGACCCTCGATTTGGTGCGAAGGGTTACTTTCTTCCAGTACTTCGAGTTGTCGCATTCATTCCCAGTTCGCTTGATCTATTGCATGTCAGCCACTCTCTCTCTCTCTCTCTCTCTCTCTCTCTCTCTCTCTCTCTCTCTCTCTCTCTCTCTCTCTCTCTCTCTCTGTGCCTCTCCACCCGTGTTTGCGACTGGTCGTGGGCTGCGTGCACGTGCTTGCTTGCCACGTGTCATCGCTGTCTGCATGCTTGGTGTGCTTGGCTGACAACACGACTTTGCTCCTTTTTTTCCCTTTTTTTTTTTTTAAGGCCAGGCTGTTGTAGAGGCCCGGTTCCACGACACTGCTCCTTAGAATAATCCTTAATATCTACGCTCTTGCTCACTAACGCCAAAACGGACAGTCCATCCTTCGGGACATCCTTTAAAATTGGAAAGATGCAGAGAGAGAAGAATCGGTTACAATAGGAAAGATACAGAGAGAGAAGATAAGCATGGCCCCTGTGCAAGGATGACACGCATAAATCGAGAAATGGTCCAGAAAAAAAAAAAAAAAAACAGAAAATCCGACTATAATAGAAACTACTGAGAATAGAAATTAGAGAAGGGTAAAAAATAAAAGAACAAGAAGAATTGAATTGAAGTAGCGAGGCCAACGCTGTGTCCATGTCCCGATGATATGCCATGCAACTCCCACACGAAGAAAGAAAAAGAAAATAGATAAGGGTAACTTTTTGTTCTCAGCTTTTGCTCTTCGTCTAATCAATCGGACTTCTGTCTTCGCTTTTGTGACTGTTCCACCCGCACTTGCTCTCTTTTTATCTCCCTTCTTTCACATCTGCATGTCTAGTGATTGTGTGCCCGGAACCGTAATCCCAGCTCACTGCCCAGCTGAGTTCGCCCCAAGCAAGCCAATGCTAACTACGGAATTAGAAAAGCTCCTGCTGCAAAAGCACCCTCATGTTGACGAAATCAAACTCCCTCACTCCGATCCCCCTCCTTCACCCTTCTCTCTCTCTCTCTCTCTCTCTCTCTCTCTCTCTCTCTCTCTCTCTCTCTCTCTCTCACACACACACACACACACACACACACA